CGAGTGGGGGGGGGGGGCGGGGGGGGGGGTGGGTGGTGGGGGGGGGGCAGGGGAGGGGTCAGTGCTGGGGAGGGAGGGGAGGGAGGGGTCAGTGCTGGCTCCAGGCTGGGCACAGAGGATTGCTGTGGGCGAAGGAGGAGGATGGCCCACCTGCCCACCACCCTGAACTTGCGATGAGCTGGGCTTCCCTGCTAGAGGAAGGCAGGGAGAGAAAGTGCCCAGAGAGGAAACGGATTCTGCTGACTCAGGGGCCCAGGCCAGCCACTTCCCTCCTGGGAGCCCCCAGGGTGGGCTGTCCTTGGGGCCATGGAGGCTGGAGAGGTGGGAGGAGAGACTCTGGAGTTAGCGCAGAAAGGGGGAAATGGAGAGAAAAGAGAGCCAAGGACAAAATCCAGAACACCAGAAAAGACAAGAGGGAGACAGAGCATGACACCGAAAGAAAGGACCCCAGAGACAAAATGAGATACAGAGCCCCGGTGTGAGGAGGTGTCATCAGCCTGTCTCCAATACTCCTGCTGGTACCCCGAACACCCTAGAGAGGCCTCAGGCTCTCATTGCCAAGCACACATTGAGCACCTACTGCATGTTACACTGATGTTTCTCTGCATGTGGGGACCATGCACCTGAGGCAGGCAGAGGCAGAGCTTTAGAGAGTAGGGATAGTGGTCCAGTGAGTGACAGCACCTGGCTGTATGTGCGTGCGTGCGTGCCTGTGTATGTGTGTGTGTGTGTGTGTTTGTGTGTGTGTGTGTGTGTGTGTAGGTGTGACAGGTAGGTGTAGCAGGAGCCCCAGCCCAGGACACAGGGGCAGGAAGCTGAGGGGTAGGAGGGACAAAGCCAGACCTGGAGCCGAGCCTCTGCTGTCTGTCCTCCCCAAAGAGGTTGGATCCAGGGTCCAGTGACCACCACTCTCCTGGGACTGAGTAGGTCTCTGGGGCAGGAGATCCTGGACAGAGAAGGACAGTGTGCCTTTGAGAGGATTCTGTGGCTATGGTATGGGGGAGACTGGGGCCCAGGGGGAAGTGAGGGCCCCTCAGTGAGTTGGTGTTTAGGAGTAAGGAGTACAGATTCTCAGGGAACCACAAGGCTGTTTCTAGGACTCCTGTTGAGCCCCCACGACCTCTCACTCTGAAGAAGTATACCCACAACTTCCCTCAGCAGACCCAAGGAACAGCCCCACACACCAAAAGGAGGCAAGCAGTGGGAGGGGCAGGAATGTCTCCCACCCCACACACTCACCTTCCAGAAACTCCCAGAATGCTGGGCAGAGGGAGGCACCTCACAAGAAAAGGGCCCATTACCTCTTTAGGAAACATGAGACAGGGTGATTCAACCCTGCTGGAGCGAGCCCGGGAAACAGCTGAACAGCAAACAGGACCCTGGTGCCAGATCCCTGGGGCTTCCAGAAACTTCTGTGTTTAGGAATTGTCATTTGTGTTTGGGTTACAGCATTAAGAGATAAGGGGGGGGGGGGGAAAGGAAGGAAGGAAGGAAGAGAAAGGGAGAAAGGAGGAGGAAGTGATGTGTTCTAACATTACGGAAACACGGAACTCACTCCCTCAGGTCACTGACCGGTTCACTGTCCCAAAACATTCCAGCCTTTTCCACCTCAGGTCCTTTGCTCTGGCTGCTCCTCCTTCAAGAACTTTCCTGCCCCAGAGTGCTGGCCCACTCCTACACACAAAGACACCCCCACTCCCACACAACCCCAAGAGCAAAGCTCTATGCAGAATAAGTGAGTGAACCCAGGAGCCTACTCACTGGGGACAGCAGCTGGGTCCTATCAGCTTCAGCCACACTCTAGGGACTCTAGAAACAGACAGGTGTACTGACAGTCAGGGCAGGGAAGGACAGGGTCCCTTAAGAAGTAACAGAGGTCAGGTGTTGGTGGCGAACGCCTTTAATCCCAGCACTCGGGAGGCAGAGGCAGGCAGATCTCTGTGAGTTCGAGGCCAGCCTGGTCTACAGAGCGGGTTCCAGGACAGGACAGCCTCCAATACAAAGAAACCCTGTCTCAAAAAAACCAAAAAGAAGAAGGAGGAGGAGGAGAGGGAGGAGGAGGAGGAGAAGAAGAAGAAACAGGGAGCAGAGTGAAAACCCACAAAGAATGTCGAGTGGTGGCACACTCCTGTAATTTCAACAAGCGTGATGCTGAGGCAGGAGGATTGCCACGAATTCTCAAAGCCAGCCCAGGATACAGGATGAGACCCAGTCTCAAAACAACAGCAACAACAAGGTCAGCAGTGTGGCTCAGCAGGAAAGGGCACTTGCTGTCAAGACTGACCACCTGAGTTTGATCCCTGAGACCCACAAGTGAGAAGGAGGGAACTGATTCGGCAAGCTGACCTCTGACCTCTGCATGCTACCTTCTCCCCACACTATCTAAAAAAATAAATAACAAGCCAGGTGCATGCCTATGATCCCAGTGCTTGGGAGACAAAAGCAATGGATCAGAGATTCAAGGTTACACGTATTTGACTGCATAGTTCGTCCAAGGACAACCCGAGCGACCTACGTCTCAAATAAAAACAAAAGCAAAAAAACAAGGACATGCAATGTCCCTGGCTGGCTCCTCAGGGCCTGCCTCTGTCTGCCCATGTCCCTCCCCCACCTCCCAACCCCTCTGTGTGTTTCCCATCCCCTGTAGCCCTCCAGCTTCAGAATGCTTTATTATTGAAAGTTCATTCCAGGTCCATATCTACGGATATGTGAGGAAATGCAGGAGTCCATGCTTTGCATGGGATCTCTTGGTAGTCAGGGCTGGCAATTAGGCCAAACAAAAAAACAAAAAACAAAAAACAAAAAACAAAAAAAAACAAAAAAAAAAAAACACCCTACAGGCCAAAAGATAAAGTCCAGCTGAGGACAGCTGGTTGGAGCCCTGAAGTCTGGTACTGGCATCTAGGAGCAGGGATAAACAGTGGTGAGGCAGGAATGAGGGCTTCCTGGAGGAGGAGGAGGAGGAGGAGGAGGAAGAGGAGGAGGAAGAGGAGGAGGAGGAGGAGGCCAGGCCCGGTAAATTTGGTGGTCCTCAGGCCATGCTTGGGGACACAGCAGGCCCAGTCCAATAAGAAAGAGACCCAGCAGGTCAGACCAGATTCTCCCAGGAGCCCCTGGGGGTCAGAGCACCCTGTCTGCTTCCTGTCTCTCCACACAGTGTCTTCTCTCTCCTTGGGCCCTCTGCGATCATGGTGTTGGGGTTTCCCCCCAAAGATCTATGTCCCTGTCAGTATCCATCAGTCTGATGCAGGAGAGGGACACGAGGCCACACAGGGCCAGCACACTGCCCACTGCACGTAGTTGACACACTCCTCAGGCCACTGGCCATTAGGCTGGGAATTAGAACCCAAGGGCTCCAGCAGCAAGAGACAGCATGACACTGACTAACCAGCCCACCACAGGGGACAGGGTCTAAAGCTGAGCATGTGACATGGGTGTGCACATGGTGACACTGGACAGGACTGAGTCTGTGTCACAGCCCAAACTAGCCTCCTAGATGAAGACTCCCAAAAAGATGTCTGAGTTCCCTGTGCCTTCCTTTTTCTGCCTGTGAAATGGGTCAAAGAGGCACCATGTATGCCTAGAAAGTGGGTGGCTCAAGGCAGAGTTGAGAAGCAATGGGGTTATTAAAATGTCCAAATAATGGCACACTAACGGGTGCCCCAGCACGAGCCTGTTGTCCCTGCGCTCTGGTGGTAGAGGCAGGAGGACTGAGAGTTCCAAGCTAGATCACTATTTAGAGAGATCCCGTGTCAAATAAACAGCAAATTAATTATTTAGCGAGCTGCTGTGGTGGTGCATGTGTGCAATCCCAGCATTTGCGAGCTTCCTGAACTACAAGGGACCTTGACTCAAAAAAGCCTGAAGAAGTCAGGCATGGTGGTGCACATCTTTAATCCCAGCACTCAGGAGGCAGAGGCAGGTGGATCTCTGTGAGTTTGAGGCCAGCCTGGTCTCCAGAGTGAGTTCCAGGATATCCAAGAATACACAGAGAAACTCTGTCTCAAAAACCAAAACAAACAACCAGCCAAAAGCCAAAAGGAGGAAAGGAAGGAGGAAGGGAGGGAGGGAGGGAGGGAAGGTGGAAAGGGTACACCATCAACTCCATCCACAATGAAACTGGAGAGAGAGAGGATGGAAGGGGCAGTGTGTGTCTTCAGAGGCTTGCTGCTGCGGGACTGACAAGCAGAAACATGGACAGTGGACGGGTGAGTGACCACACCCATGTCTTTTCACTGTCCACTGGAAAAAACAAACAAACAAACAAACAAACAAAAGAAATCCCAGTCAAGTAACCACGTGCACCCTAAGTACTCAGACCATGGAGGCCCCCCCAGGCTCCCGGCCACACTGGCTGATTTCAGGGCTATAGGAGAGCTATTCCAGGAGCCAAGACACTCAGAGCCCTAGAAGGTAAGGACGGGTTCAAAAAGGGCCACATCAGAAGTATCTGTTGAGGCGCCCAGGAGCCAGAGCTCACAAGGCCCCAAGAGAGAGTGACATGAGTCACACAGTAAGTCAATAAGTCAGATGGCACCTGGCAGGCAGTGAGGGTGCTTCACACCAGCATGTGCTAGGCACCGCAAAGAGAAGGGAAAGTAGCATTGGATTGTAACCAATAATTTGTGAGTCCATGTTAACATAAATAAGAAATGGATGGATGGATGGATGGATGGATGGATGGATGGACGGACGGATGGGCAGACGGACAAACAGACAAACATAGACAAGCCCCTCAGGCAGAACTCCAAATAATTTGCAGTGACATCAGAGGCCCTAGATATGCTGGTGACTCCCTGAGAATGCTCACAGTCTAGACAGACAAGGACTGCACAGTGGGGGCCTGGGCTAGGTGTGACATCAGTGTTGATGGCCCCTGCTGACGACTCTTGACACCATGGTCAAAGTGGTCCTGCAGAACCACACACAAATGCTGACAGATCTCAAAAGCTCCACAAAATAGCTAGCCGGACCTTCCACAGCATCAGAGTAGGGAGGGGGCTGGAGAGGTGTCCCAGTGGTTAGAGCACTCACTGGCTGATCTTCCAGAGAACCCAGCATCCACATTCATAATCATCTGTAACTTCAGTTCCAGGGAATCTGATGTCCTCTTCTGCCACAGGCACCAGGCACAAACCACGCATACACATTAAAAAAATAAATAAATAAAGGTCATTGAAAAAAGGCAAGCCTAAGAAACTGCCCCACACGAGGAGCCTGAAGGGATGAGGTACTAAGGGTGGGTAGGACTCTGACCTAGGAAGAGGTCGTTACTTACAAGCCAAGGACGTCTGAGCCAGCTATGGACATTGGCTCATGTCACACACTAAGATAAGAAGCCCACAGAAAGGGAAGCTCGGAACAGAGGCAGCCGTGAAGGGAAGGGCTGGCACTGGGGGAGACGAGACTCGGGCACCAGGTACTAGCTTCCCCCCTTCTCTGTCTCTGGTCTCATGAAGGCGGAGTCTCCCCATGCTGGCAGCACTGTGGCAGCATGAGCAGTAGACCTGAGACTGTCCCACCATATTCCCCTGGCCATGAGGACAGCAGACAGTGTGTGGGAGGAAGGAGCAAAGGGGAAGCGTACAACAAGACATCCAATTCTCAGAAAGTCTGGGTTAGGAGTCAGAGGACCTCGGTTCAAGTCCCACATCTTCCTCTAGTTGAGTGTCACCTTTGGCCACTCACTTCCCCTCCTCACAAGGCAGTGGCCGAGGTGGCTGATTGTGACTTTGGGCAGCTAATGTTGGGCCTCGTCCCCAGCCAGCCTTGCTCCCCAGCAGGGTTAAGTCTGACACCGTCACCTCCTACTTCCAGAGGACAACTGTGTGGTGTCTGCCACAGGACTGCGTCCCGGTTTATATGTGAGCAGGAATGGCCTGCTCACAGTGGCCATTCCTAACTTTGGTCTTTGTGTCTAATAATTGCCCTTGAAGTGAGATTCGAATAAAGACGATTGGGACCCCTACATCCCTCCAAGACCTCTCCATTTTGCTATCCTGGTGCAACACCTACCCACTGTTCCTTGAACTTCCAGCTCTTTCCTGCCCCACGACTTTTGTCTCTGCTTCTCTCTTCCCCTTCCACAGCCTTCTATCAGGTCCTTCAC